ATTTTCCCACGTCATTGTAGTTGTGCTACAACTTTAAAAGCACAACTACAATGACGTGGGAAAATACCCGAACAGGAATTACCATAAATTCCACCTATAATCTGAAAGTTATAAAATTTAATAATAGAAATTGGGATAAATGTATATTATATTTGTGAAACATAGAAGGCAATTCAGTCTTGTTACAACTAATATAATTTTCTGTAAGGTCTTAAACATGTGAATATGCAGTGGTCAACACCAGGTATGGAGAAACCTTGTAAATTGCATCAATGTTTTATTTTTTAAATCTTCCAAGAATTCACATTTTTGGAAGAAATAAGAGTAGCCTGTTTTTTTTATGGGGGAAAAAAACCCACCTTTGCTCTTTGTATCTTCTTGTCTCCTTAAAGGGCACAACTGTTCTTCCACTGTGGGCTTCGGTGCATTTTGATCCTCTCTGCTGGGATAATCCTAGGACATTTGACCCAGCTCATTTCTTGGATAAGAATGGTGAATTCCAAAAGAAAGATGCCTATTTGCCTTTCTCTGCAGGTAATAAAGGGGTTATGGCTGATCTGGGGACTTCAAGGTTGGTCAGTTACCGATAAGGCTGCTGAACTGTTACTCCCCCTATGCTGATGGGTGCTGTTCTTCCTGCCTGAGCTGATTCAATCGCGAAGGAAAATTTTTGAACTTTTTAGAATCAGAAGATACATAAGTGGTTGCTAATCAACTCCTCCACTGAAGGAGGACTTTTTTTCTTGAAAAGCCACAGGCAATATAGAGCAAGGAGATAAATACAGATCATGATAGGACCAAAGCACTGGGGGAGATTAATATTTTCTTCTTTTCAGTTTTCCTTATGCTGTTTCCTTTTCCCGTTTCTTTTTTTGTAAATGAAAGCATTTATTAACAGATTTAAAGATAACATAAAAAAAATGTAGCCTAAAAGAAAAGAAAGAAAAGAAAAAACAAAAGTGCAGAAAACAGAATTTAAAGAAATTTTTAAAAAGCTTCCAATTTCTTTTGCAGCATATACAAGCATGATTACAAAGTTATCTCCTTAAAAGCTGAAAAAAAACTTCACTTTTTTCCATTATCAATTTTTCCTAATAATTGAAACCATAAGTCATTTTTTCTTTCTTTCATGCAAAAAGATTATAAGAGGTTTTCATACAGCCATAAATGTAGCTACTGTCTTTTTTCTAATCAAAGAAATTAATTTAGCCATCTCTGCAAGTTCCATCATCTTCACCAACCATTCCTTCATTGTGGGTAATATTTCCAATTTTGTGCTTATAATAATCTTGCTGCAGTTGTCATACATAAAAATAAACTTCTGTGACTTCTTTCTAGTTCCTTATTTTTTATTCTTAGTTTTTGTTACTCCATGAAGAAAAGAGCAGGCAGGAGAGACTCCACCTACTGTAGGGTGGAGAAATTGAGGCAGAGAGATAGCGCCTCTTCCTAGTGCTGTAGTCTTGATATGTAGCAACCCCTTCCACCCTAATTTTATGATTCCAGGAAGATTCAGGAAATCTGATTATGTCATTCCCATGGCACAATTTTCTTTGCCAATGTGAATGTAAGTCATATAGGTCTACAGGGTAGTTATCTCAGTAATATTGTTAGGTCTTGCCTATTTAAAAAGTTTGTGTTTCTTTTTAATTATCATGGTTGGTTGCACAGTCAGCCAGATATTTAGACTGAATTTGACATTCTTGTCCACTTATTGATTCCTTCCCAAGGACCTTGGATAGGTAGTTGTTCTTGCTGGATGATGTTAAAGGCATCACTGCAGGATGTAAGCTGTTCCAAGTAAAGCTGCCTTTTGCAAATGACTGATAATGATTTTGTCAATGCAAATGTTGTTGAAATGATGCTCTCTAGTTATTTTGGAATTGCACCTAAGGTGCCTATTACCATTGTTACAGTTCTTTTGTTACAAGACTTTCTAGTTCTGTTTGCAGTCTTTATACTTTTTGATTTTCTCCAGGTATTTCTCTTCTATTGTGCTGTCTCAAGGTACTGCTACATCTATTATCAATACTTTTTTTGTCTTTCTTATCAATAACTGTCATCTCTTGAGTGTTATGTGGCAGTTGCTTATCTGTTTGAATTCTAAAGCCCCAAAGCAATTTAGTGTCTTCATTTTCTATTACTTTGTTTTATGATCCCACCAGTTCTTGCTTGCAGATAAATGGTACTTTTTGCTGTGCACCATTTTTGCTACTTTGTCATGCCACTGTTTGTTGTCAGTCTATTCTGTTACTCCATGAACAGAATGTGATCTTCTTGCAGCAGATAACTAGGCGGTCCACTGTTTCTTCAGCTTCTTTATAGAGCTGGCATTTACTTTCTCTGCTATCTTTTCAATTCTTGCTTAGTAGGCATTATATATGCATATATAGTATGCAGTCAGAATTAGTCTCTTTCTTCAATTTTTCTGCTGTTAGTCATTGTCAGGTTTTGTTATTACTTGTTTTGCCAGCTATTCTTTTTTTAAATGTACTGGCCATGTAATACTTTGCCTTGCCATGTCACTTTTATATTCTTTATTTGGTCTTTCTTTTAGATCTGTTAATCTGAGATGAAGCCTTACTTTCTGGGGAGCATAAAGACGGTGGATAATTAATTTGCTTGTTTGTTTGCACACACACCCCCTTTGTAATTTTTGGAAATAACTCAAAAATGGCAAACATAGCCAACACTCCCTCTGCTTATTTATCTTCTTTTTTTTTCTTTTTACAGGGAAGAGAGTATGTCCAGGAGAGTCATTGGCTAATATGGAAATCTTCATATCGTTTACCAATCTGCTCCAGAACTTCACTTTTGAATTGACTATGGACCCTAAGGAGATAGATTTAGAGAACTTGTTTATGGGCTGTAGAGAGAATGGGAAGCATCGGTACATTCGAGCTATCAAACGTAAAATATAAATTAACAATTGTCTCAAAAATATTTTTTCTTCCATCCCAGCACTAAATTTTTAATATTGTGTCCAAAGTTTCAGAAATGAGTGCTGACAAGTAAAAGCATTTGAAATATATTTCAGTAAATGACTGTTCTAGTACAAATATCACCATCAGCACCATTACTATTACTTCTACTGTTTGAATTTTGACTTCATCCAGAGAATCTGATACACAAAAGCACAAACTTCTTCAGGTTAAAGATTGCTTTTAATCTTTCAGTGGTATAACAGGACCTTAACCCCAATTTTAGACTGAGTGAAACCATGCCAAATATTAAGATTTATTCAATTCAAATGTAATTAAAATAAATTAAAAATAGTCATCATTTAAGAATTCTTTTTAAAAATGTCATTAAAAATGCTGTTTGGCAGCCTTTCATGAAATTGTTTTAGTGACTCTGGTAACCAAAATCTAATCAATGTTTTCTTGTCTCTGTTGAAGTACACAGACACCATAGTACAGAATCACAGTTTCATAATGTGAATCATATGTAATATACCTTTCATTGATTTCAGTAAAATGATTTTAATGTAATCTGAGTAACTTCTTACTATTAACTAAAACAAATAAAAGTTTTTGACCTGAATGCTCATTGTGCTTGTTTATTTAGTCAAAAGTATGAACAGTACGAACAAAATGAAACTTACAGGTAGCTTCAACACCTATACTTTTTCAAAAAACTTCACAGGATTTCATAGCCTGGTGACTAAAGGAAAAAAAAACTCAAAAGGGATGAAGCTGAATTCATAATAAGACCAACATTTTAAACAGAAATGTGAAGATAGTTTTCCCCACACTGGAAATGATTAATAAAAAGGATTAATCTCTGAGAGATTTAATTTTGAATTATTTATATGAAAAACTAATAAACAGTTGGAAGAAACCATAATAATAATGTTATTAGGAGCCATATAAAAATAGAGCGGTGCTTATTCTTAAAAGCATCCAGAGACATAATAGATGTGTAGGGGAAAGTTGAAGCAGAAAATGTATCATAGACAAGGTGAAGTCATAGCAAGTTAATCTTTGACTGTTATTGGTGAAAGTCTTAAATATGACCCACTGTTTTCTGAATGATGTCAGAAGTGAAAAACTGACATTCTAGTGATGGACAGATTTCTGGTTGAACTTTACTTGAGTTCTCCCTCTCTAACGACAACATTTCAGTAGTTCTGTATTTCATAAATTGGTACCAGATAAGTTGTGCTAGAATTGAGTTTTTAAGTTAGAATACACCTGTGTGAGAGCATATTTGTTCCAAATTAATCTGTTCCAAATTGATATAAATCGTGAGGAGATGTCAGATCAAAAGTGATGGTCAATGTATGGGAGAAAGCAGATCCCCAATTAATTAATTGCTTTAAGGGAAAGAAAGGGAAGCAAAAGAGAAACTGAGTTAAAATAATGAAAGGCTCATTGCAAGAAGTAAGGAAAGTATAGGATTAAGAACTTGGAAAGAAAGACTCTACAGCAAGATCTGTACTACAAACTGTTGAGGTGTTGTATGACCTGTTCCTAAGTACCTGATCAAAACTATGTCATTTCCGTTTATTCAGCCACTAGCAGATTCTCCAAAGGGAAACTTTCTTATTTATTGTTTTAAATGATCTTTCTCTCCCATTTAAAGAGGGGAGGAGAGGGCAAAGACTTTTTTTGAAATTCATATAATTTTAATGACTGTATCTTGAATCATTGGCATTATCAAACTGTAACTCTGAGACAATTCTGTTTTGTTTCTGATTTACCTTAGAGAATTCATGAAATGAATGTGACAGAGGAAGAAAAAAAAAAATAACTCCCCTTTGTTCATTTATAGAAAATGAATCTGTAAGGTCCCAGAAGTTTCCCTGAGCTACGGAGATGCCTAAGAGTGAGACTCAAGACGAGGCTTGCAAAAACAACAGCTTTTTTATTCTTTGACTAAAGCAAAAAATCTGAGTGAATACTATGTCCAAAACATTCTGACAAAATGCATGTAAGGAATAGCCATACCCTACTAGAGTGGCTCAGAGTATTATATACATTTTACGCTGATAGAAACTGTTTATCTAATCAGAGAGAAAGGTTCATTATTAATGTGGACAATGTCTTGCCCATGCCCTCCCCTTCCTTATCCATGGAGCGTTCTTTGTCCGTGCTCTGTCCATACTTTGTTATTTTACACAATATCCCTTGTCCTTGTGTGTTCATGCTTCTGGGCAGCCCCCCCCCCCCTTATCTATGGAGCAGGATGTTAATGGGAATTGTCTCCAAGGATGTGTCTAGCTCTGAAGCAAATTGCAGAGGCAAGAAACCAGATAGAAAAGGATACAATTCTCCTATAGAATGAATTCCTTGCAAATGATTTCCTTTCTTGAGCAAAATAGTACAAGCAACTTCTTTAACAGATACAAAGAGCAAAGGTTAAATCAATTCATGTCAAAATGTCCTTTCAAATCAGTGGATATTACTGGCTTTCCAAGACTTTGCCACCTAGGATTTCCAAGATAACATTAATTCCAGTTATCTAACAGCCATCTTTTCAATTTTCAACATCTCTCTGACATTTTACAGATAGTGAATAGTTAACAGATAATCTGATGGTGTTAAATTCGGAAGCTGGTCGTTGTTTAATTCCATTTCCTGCTATCTATTAATTGCTTGATGCACTTTGTCTAATGTAATTTACATGGTATGCTTATTGCAAAAGTATCAACTCAGGCACGTTTTAGGAGAATTACGGTAGCAACTGTGTCTCCTAGGAGTTTTTTTTTTAAAAGCGTTCCACCAACAGAAACTAGCCAGGACTTTTATTAACAGTTTTGACTTGCGGCTGCTTGGCGTAGAATTAGAGTTAGGCAAGGGGAGATTAAGAGGCTGGTTGCATTTTACCAGCTATTTACTCCAGCTATTTACTTCCTTTGTGAATCAGAGATTGGTGTCATGAAGATACGTTCAGTTGCGGAAGTTGAGCCTGACCTAGAATATAAATTGCAGTATACCCCTGATCTAAGATGTGAGAAGGAAACAGACTTGGTTCCGGTTTGCTATCGCTGCAAATCCTGCATCTTGTCCTGGAAGATTTTTTCCACCCGAGAATGGTTTGTTCGTGCCAGCCAAGCAACTCAGAGGACGTTCGTGATGGGGATCATCAACCGATTCCAAAGCCACGACCTCCTGAAATACTCCTGGAACCTCCTACAGGCTATCGATACCAAGGATTTTTCCTATTCCCGTTCCTGCGTCAGCTCCACCTTCAGAGTCTCTTCTGCTCTGGATCGGGCAATGGATCCACAGAAACTGGCGCAATCCATGGCGGATCTTTGGAGATGGTTCGGAGGCTCCTGTTTCTGGACCAAAGCAAACTACATACTACTTTTGCTGCAAATGTGCGACTCACAGTTGTTGCTGATGGCTAGTACTCTGATCCGCATCCTCTTAGGTGAACATGAGACTGCCATGGAAAAAGGTAATTTTTACTATTTGCCAGAAGTGCAGGAGCTATTTTTGGCATCCAGCGAGGTGGTAGTGGTAATGACCAGTGTTTTACTTGTTGATGTTCCACCGTAAAGTCTAGTAGTTAAAGCACCAGGCTAAAAACTGGGGGAATGAATTCTAGTCCTGCTTTAGGCTGCAGCTGCAAGCCTAAAAAATGACTTTGGGTCAGTCACTCTCTCTGGGCTTACCTCATATCACTGGGCTGTTGTTGTGAGGAGAATAGGAGAAGGAAAGACTATTAGGTATGTTTGCTGCATTGAACTATTTATAAAAATAATAAAGATGGGATTAACATCTAATAAAGAAATAAACCAATGAAGCTCACCAAGGCATTATCCCATTTTCATCACTCAAAATATCTAATGATCATCAGTTAGCTTGCAGCATTGCAGTGTATCATATTTATAATACAATCCTATTTGGAAAATAAATTATAGTGTGGATTGTCGTTACCTGTGATAATTTATGTTCTTAATTTTTGTAACACCAGACTCCTGATAATACACTGCAAAGCCCATAAAACACATATAAAAAAATAAAATTGTGGGCCATCAAGTTATTTTTTACTCCTAGCGACCACATAGATATATTTTCTTCATCAGGATCTATCTCCAACTTATTTCAAGTCTTCCCAACAATGCACCCATTGCCACTGGAACTGAGTCCATCCACCTTGTTGCTAGTTCTCCTCTTAATCTTTTTCCCTCCATGTTTCCTAACATTACAGCCTTTTATTCTATGTTGAATTATCAAAATTACACTAACACAGGGATCTCCTATTGATGATTTATAATTCTTACAAGCTCTCCAGAACTTTATTTTTATCACCTTCCTAAATACTAGAAGGGAGGGTGCCATCTAGATTTCCTGGAGGGAAGCTGTTCATATGTCGTCTACTACTGAGTTTCATAAATAATGTGCAATACATTTTGAAGAGAATATTTGCAGCTCAGGTTGAACTATGGGGTTCTTGGTGCTCTCTGAGGTTGCTGTTGGGCAGGGATGTCAAACTTGCATCATCAGGTGATGTATCATGACTTTCCCCCCCCCCTTTGGTAAACTGGGTATAGGCCTGGCCAGTGTGTGATGCATCTAGCCTGCGGGTGGCGAAGTTGACAACCCTACTGTTAGGTAATGAAATGTCTACAAGAAAACAGCCAAATTCAGAGAGCGTCAAGAACCCCACAATAAAATACATTTGTTGTATGCTACCCAGAGTGACTTGTTTTGTGAGATGGGGAGCTATGTAAATTTGAAAAAATAAATGAATAAATAAAACATATTATTTTCATAATTTTATTTCCATATTTTGTCTATGTCTTATGTTCAGCATTCCTTAAGGTATACACCAAATATAACTTTTTTCCCCTCAAAATATGCATGTCACTGTTCCAAACGTGTATTCTTGGTATATAATTTTTGAACCCAGAAATATTGTGAGATCAGGGGAGCAAATGAAAGAAATTACTTGTTTGTTCAAACTCCTGTGAGAGAACTTCTGCTAGACTGTTCTTTGGTGAGCTCAACCTTATTTCCATTTTCTGCCACATGTCCAATAACAACTAGAAGCCTTTATCTGGCTGTTTTCAAGATCTGTCTTGGGAGATTCTTGTAAATAAGTAAGCAACAATAAAGAAGCAACTCTTTACCATGTCATTCTGATTCCTTGCACCTGACATGCTGTCTGGAACTGAAAATTGGGTCTGGAATATCTGAAGGGTATCAGATTATTTTTTCCTATTCAAGTGCTATAAAACATTGTGGAGTGGTATATAAGTCGAAGTGCTATTGCTTTTGCTAAAAGCCCCAATCTCAGTGGGAGCACTGAAGAACAAGAAGTTGGTTCCTCTTGTCCTCCCACTCAGAGCCATTTTTTTGTGAAATTGTTCTGCTTTCATTTCCCTTTTGTTCTTCCTTAATTATTTTCATCTTTCAATCTATGACAGAAGAAGAACATGTAAGCTGGAGCAAATCTGAAATGCGTCCTCTCATCCCTGTGAAATCTGCTACACTTTCCCAAATGGCTGAAAGCCAGTTACTTTCAAAAGCAAGCAGTGTGTTTGGTATGGTTTGATTTTTATGTAGTGTACGGTATATACAATATATAATTTAAGTCAGTTTTAACCTGTAACATCTTCATGTCAATATATTTATATGGTTAACAACACTATTATTTTCACTGAGTAAATGAAAATGCCCAGTGCAGTATGGTCAATCTATGCCCACTTATGGATTTGTTCTGTTTGTCAGCATGAGTTTCCCATAAGGAAATAGAAATTTTGTTTTGGATTAGACTGAAGACCTGTATATTACTTGTTCCCACAATGGATGACTACTGCATGTAGTATGTACAGGTGAAGCCCATGCAGAGGAAATGAATTATGCAGCATATTTCTTCCCAGAAGCGTACCTGTTACGTTCCCTTAACATAAATTTGACAGATAATTATAATAAGCATTAGCAAGTAAGGTGACAAACACTATGGATTTGGATAGTTTATAAGGAGCACAGTGGCTTGCATAGTTAAGACACTGTCTTGACAAGCAACAAGCTTGTGTTCGAGACCCGAGTGCTACCATGGAGCAGGGTGAGCTCCTGTCTTTTATTCTAGCTCCTTCGGGGACATGAAAGGAGGCGTAAGCCTATGTCGCTTTCCTCTATCGCACCTGGTAAACAATGTGGAATCCAGTAGCTCATCTATTAATTACTCAGATTTTGCATTTGGGTTAATTAATGTCATATTGGCCCTGCACAGTATAACTTGTACCTTTTTTTTCTTCCTTACCACAGGTAATGTCCGTGTACAAAAGATTTGGTCCAAACTGTCAGATAATATCTTCAAGAAAGCACTGTATGAATTGGAAAACGAGACTAACTATTTTGCAGTGCTGACTTTGCACCCAACCACTCCACCTGCTTCTCCTCAGCAGTCCTCCAGCAAATTCAGAGATTTCATCCGGTATCTGCCTGTCCACTTATCGAAATCCATTTTGAGTAAGGATCTTATATCTCCTCAACCTTTCTAGGGCTGCCCTTCAATAGGCAACATCCCACCCACCCCGCCCCACCCCAGTTTGGGACACTTTCCTTTCAGGAGCCCATGCAATCAACCCAGCTTCCTAGGTGACTGCAACAGTGCTGAATAAGTTATAAATGTTCCATGTTCCTCAGAAGTTAACAAGTATGCAAGTAGGTAAACAAAGCAATCAAAGGTGACTTGAAGAGGGAGAAGCAAGGAATGAATGGCCAGTATTTCTCCCAGATCCAGAGATATATTGACAACACAGGAGAGTGTTAAGAGAGATTAACATGCCAAAGATAAGAGATATAGGAACAAGGTTTGCCAAGATGAAAATAATCAAGACTACATGGAGGTTTAGGAATTATTTACAGGATGTGCTCACCTATTAAGCAGTAGCTTTAAAGTTCTTCCTTGATGGAAGCCCTAAAATATTATAGCATCAAGAACCATCCCTGCTGAGTCTGAGAAATCGTGAAAACTGTTCAGGCTTGTAAGAGTAGTTTTACTGGTTGCATTTGTTGTTTTAAAACTGTTGATGGCAGATGTAATCACTCTTCAATTTAGAATCTGAAGTCTATTGTGTTTATCTCAATTTTGTTTTTGTTATTATGGCTCTAAAGCAGGGGTGTCAAACTTCATTTCATTGAGGACTGCATCAGGGTTGTGTTTGACCT